AACCCAAGCTCATCGAGATATGCAACAATAACGTAACATAGACACGGTTAGCTTTTTACCTTCACAGCTCAATAAAAGTACTTATTTAAAAAAAGAATCCGGTAAAGGACCAACAAATTTACAACGTCCGAGATTACCAAATGCTGCCAATTTCTATTTGTTAATTTGGCGAATACTTCTCGAAAAACACTTATAGTTCATAGATTACTTAACATCAAATTCTTCGTACTTGGGCGACTTTAACAAGAAAAAATGGAAACATAATGTTTCTTACCGCATTGCGCTTCGTCCAGGGCTTACGTCAACATCGTCGATCAACGTTTCTGTGCGATTTCCCGCAGATAACCTCGATGTTTCAGCTGAACTGTATGCAGTACTAGGCGCCACAACTGCAGCAGTCCTACCGTCACGTGTTCGCGATTGTTCCGTCGCAATATTTAACAATTCTCTGGAAAATTGTACATGTAAGTATGTAATGCGGTCAAAACGCCACCATTCTCTCTGGATGGAAAAAAAAAACAGGAAACGAGTAGGATGTAAACACAGAGAACAATGAAATACCTATAACGCCTAGTCTCATCCTCGGTCATGTTGATTCCCTTCGCATCCAAACGATCTAACTCTTGGTTGACAGCCTCTCTCGTCTAAAATATTCTTTACTACGAAAAAACTAAATGCGAGTTAAATCTATTGATATTTGGGAAAAATAATAAATCAAGTTCCTCTATTTCTTCTGAACCCTTGGACGTATACGAAACAACGCCATAGGTCAAATTATGTCTCAAATTTTTCTGCCTTTAGGATCGGAAGCATCTTAAGACCGCAAGCGGGACATGATTAGACCGATAATGTGGGATGCAGAAATTATCTATAGGAGCTTTCAAGAGAACTGAGCAAAGAAAAGTCTGTATACCATTTTCGTAGAGACTACGAAGAGTTATTAGCCCATTTCATTTTTTTTTTTTACTTTTGAGATCTAAGTTGAGGTATGGTAACTTGGAGTAACT